GCTCTTCCACAAAATACCACGTGCAGGGGGCGCGAACGTACAGTGTGATTGAAACTGTGTGGCCCATTCGCAGAAGTCGGTTTTCGGCCTGGGCGAGTCTATTTTGAAGAAGTGGTGTTAGAAGAAGTGGGGGGTGGACATATAGAGAGGATGAACAAAAGGAGATAGACGAAACAAGTGTACAAGTGGATGGGAGAGTTGGAAGGGGTCAACCTCAGCAAATGTACCTCAATCAGATTGAGGCCATTTTTAGCAAAGGCCAGCTTAGGAGTACCCTAATTAAGTTAATAACAATGTACCTACCTATATAGTTATAGTTTAAGTTTAAAAAAATTGGCTCTCAAAAGAAATTTCAGTCGTTGTTCTGCTGATATTTGGCTCTGTTGACTAATGAGTTTGCCGACCACTGGGTTAGGACATTTTCAACAACATAAATTCCTGGGCCTTACCCCCTCAGAGATTTTGACTTTTTTAAAAATATATATTTTATTGATTTTTTACAGAGAGGAAGGAAGAGGGATAGAGAGTTAGAAACATCAATGAGAGAGAAACATCAATCAGCTGCCTCCTGCACACCCCCCACTGGGGATGTGCTGGCAACCAAGGTACATGCCCTTGACCGGAATCGAACCTGGGACCTTTCAGCCTGCAGGCCGACGCTCTATCCACTGAGCAAAACCGGTTAGGGCAGATTTTGACTTTTTAAGTCTGGTTGTAGGCTTAGGAATCTGTATTTTAACAAGGATTCCCCAGTGATTCTTGTCATCAGGAATGCTTTAGAAACACTGGGTGACTCTATCCTAATGAGTTAGTGAAGAGATTGGCAGACATTTTCTGTAAAGGGCCATATTATTTTAAGCGTTGTAGGCCGTACATGATAGTACAGAGCAGCCATCGGCAATATATAAACGAAGAGCATGGCTGTGTTCCAATAAAGTTTTATTTATAAAAGCAGGTGGTATGCTGTGCTAGACAGTGTGGCTCAGTTGTTTGGAGCAGTGTCCCATGCACCGAAAGGTCTCAGGTTCGAATCCAGGCCAGACACATAGGGAGGCAACTGATTGATGTTTCTCTCTCTCTCTCTCTCTCTCTCTCTCTCATCTCTCTCTCTATCAGATCAATAAACATATTCTCGAGTGTGGATTTAAAAATGGTATGCAGGATTTGGCCCATGCAAGGCATAGTCTGCTGGCCCCTGAATTGTGTTCAATACTCCTCCCTCATATCACATTCACAGTTGGACCAGGGCCTTCCCAATTCTCAATATCTTAATTCAAATGAGTGACTTCAGTATTTAGAACTTCAGGTCGCATAGCTAAGCTTTAAATATGCTTTGGGACAGGGTAACCTTTGAGAGTCCCTGGTATCCACACAGCAAGGCAGGTATCACTGTGTCGAAGCACAAAGCTAAATATGACTCTGTGACATGTAGCAAAGAACACTGGCAATGAGTAAGTCACCATCAGCGATCGAGGCTAAAGACTGAGAATAGGATGGAGTCTTAGAGACCAACAGGGCAAGGGCCAATGATGAATGGGGCACAAACAAGCTGAAAATAGCACTACAACAGACACCTGAAATGATTATAATCCCTGAAAATAATGGCAATTCCACTTACTCCTTCATGGTTTTGCTCCTATATATGTGAATATTTTGTTTGTAGTAGTATCTCTAGGACAGGATCTAATTTTGGACTTTTGATAGGGATAGCAAGGAGGCTATCCCCTCCCTATAGGTGAATACATAAAAGAATACTAGTTTGGATTCTTCATATGTTTGAATATATTCAATAGGACTAAGGTACAACTAGAACCAGTAGATGAAAGATCAGGAATGGACTTTCCACTTTAGCCTGCTTTGAGGAACAATCACTAATCCAAGACTCAGAAAATCTGGTTCCTAGTTTTGGTTCCACTACCAAATTATTTTGATAACTTAATAAATCATATCCTCTTCCCAGGCCTCTGTTTCATGTGTAAAAATGAAGAGCAGACAGCATGGCCCATTCAGTTGTCTAGAGATGCCTTGTTCCACACTGTGCAGGAGGGCATCCCATAACAGATGATCACAGAAAAAGGAGAAAGTGTCTGTCAGGTAGAATGATTTCACCTCCTCATGTCTGTAGCATCTCAAGTGGAAATTTGGACTACTGATGGAGTCAAGGAGAACTGCCTGAACATAACTATAGATCTTTCTCTCTTTCCCCTTTCTTATGCTCTTGCTGCAGCCTACAGCTCCCCACCCAGGATTTGAGCACCAAGCTGTGCAAAACACAAAGGCATGTCTCAAATCCTATGAACAATCAATATTGTAATCACTCTGGAACGATATCCAGCCCTGGATTTCATTGTGCTATATTGTCTTCAGCCAACAAATTATCCTTGTGGCTCAGGATGAGATGTCCGAAGTTCCTTTAGCTCAGTGTTCCCAAACATAGCTGCATTTTGAAATCATCAGATGCTTTAAAAAATACAAATACCTGGGCTCCATCCCCAGGGACTCGATGTAATTGGTTTGGGGTGGGGCTTTGGCATAGAGTTTTAAAAGCTCCTTCGGCGTTTCTGCCATGCAGCCTGGACTGACACCGACTGAGGTTCCTGCTGGACTCAGGTTGAACAGGTGGCTTTCTACAATCTGCCCTATGTGGGTAATGAGATTACTGGCTATGGAAGAGAACACAGCTTGGACCAGGGCCCTAGGTCTGATGGGGACATTTGTTTCTGGTGTACCTTTATCTTAGGGCCCTGCTCTCCTGTGGCTGATGTGGTAAATAAATCTCAACCACAGCATTAATGGCAGAAAATAACTTTATGTATGGCCTTCCTAGATGCCAGAGACTTTCAGGGCCTTAACATAAAGAAATTCTGGAGGTTGGGGGTTGGGTAGAGGTGGGCAAAGGGGGGATGGGGACATCTGTAATAGTGTCAACAATTTTAAAAAGGTAAAAAAAAAAAATTCTGGATTATAGGATTCAAAGACTCCATGACAAGGCTGGTAGGGGAGGTGGTTTGGAGGAGCCCCAGTCTGATTTCTCCCAGTCTCCCTCATCTCAGAAAATGACAACCCTATTCTTCCCATTGAGTCCTCTCTTTTTTTTACTCCTATATCCAGTTTGTCAACATAATGTCTTGGTTCTATCTTCAGAATATATCCAGAATTCACTCACTTTCTATCATCTCTATTACTCCTACCCTAGCCCAAGCTGCCATCATATTTTAACTTATTATTGCAGTAGACTCCTAATTGGTCTCCCTACTTTGGCATCACACTTTTACACTATTTTCCACATAGCAGCCAGAGGAGTTCTTTTAAAATGCAAGTCAGACCCTGTCTGCTCAAAACCATCCAGTGGAGTAAAATCCAAAATTCTTCCCATGGTTTACAAGGCCCTACATGACCCTGCCCCTCACTGCCTCTGCAAGCATGACTCCTCTGACTCCCCCTCAATCATTCTGCTGTGGCCTAACTAGGCCCCCTTGCTGTTCCTCATGTACCCTACTTCTACTCCGACCTCAGAACCTTTATTGTTCTTTCTGCCTAGAAGGCTCTTTCTCCAGATAGTCTCATGGCTTCTCTCCCTCACTTCCTTCAGGTTTCTGCTTAAATATTACCTCTTCCCTGACCATCCTGTCTAAACTAACACTTCCATCATTTCTATCATCACTTGATCATTCTTTTGTGGCATCCCTTACTCTGCTCAGTTTGTCCTTATAGTCCTTATTTGCTATCTAAAAGCTATTTGATTATTGTAAGTCTGTTCCTGCTAGAATGGATGTTCCTTGAGGTCAGGGAGTTTTGTCTGTCTTGTTTACTGCAATGCCCTCATCACCTAGAACAGTGCCTGGCACATAGAAGGTCCTCCCTAAATTTGTCACATGAATGAATAAATGCCTCTGAATACATGACTCCTGCATTTCATCCAATCCAAGGAGCACCCAGAAAAGATTTAGTTTCAGTGTTTGATAACCATTTGTTTGATAACCGTGTGTCCTGCTGAATTTGTGGGAAATTTTTTTTAAAATATATTTTTATTGATTTCAGAGAGGAAGGGAGAGGGAGAGAGAGAGAGAAATATCCATGACAAGAAAATCATTGATCGGCTGCCTCCTGCATGCCCCACACTGGAGATTGTGCCTGCAACCCAGGCATATGCTCTGACTGGGAATCGAACTGTGACCTACTGGTTCATAGGTCGATGGTTCAAGCACTGAGCCACGCCAGCCAGGTGAAATACTGTGGGACAATTCTGAAGAACTATAGAGGCTGATTTTTGGGGCATTTCATGTAGAATTGAAGAAACAAGGTGTAGAGAGCCCAGAACTAGAAAGCCAGGACACCTGGGTAAATTATCGATGTCTCTGTTTCCAAGTAGTATAGAAATTATGGATAAATCATTTTGGAGTGCTAGGAATCCTTTCTCCCACATCTAAAATAATATTTTTATGAACTGCCTTCCTAGGAGCAGGGCATAGCTGTGAGATGAATAAAATAATTCCTGTAAATCCTTTCAGATGCTTGTATTGAGATGTAATAAAAACCACCATTTAGGTATATCTCACATTAAGAAAACCAAATATATAAAAATTCACTGTGTTATTATTAAAGAATTTTTGAAAACTCCCTTAGGCCTAGAGCATTAATAATGGGTTTCAATTCACCCAAATTTGATTCATGCCCAGCTTTTTCAGAGCACACCAATCTCAGGGTGGAGCAAAAGTAGGGTTATATTTGTTTGTATGGAAAATAATGAAATAATTAATAATATAATAAAAATCATGTGTTTCACATAGTCACAACTGTAAACCTAGATTTTCCCCCACTCTATATAAGAAAGCACTTAGCACATTGCAATGCACCTAATGGGGGATCAATACTTATTTATTGACTTATTGATCAGTAAGGGAAAGTATACCCATCCTGAGACATCTTAACTCTGGTGTGGCAAAGGTCAGGTTTTTCTCAGGGATGGAGAACTCACCAGCCCTTTGTTCTTTTTCCAGTCCCCCAAATCTGCCTTCATCAGTGCTGCAAAGAAGGCCAAGCTGAAATCCAATCCTGTGAAGGTTCGATTTTCTGAGCAGGTGGCAGTTGGAGAAACAGATGCAGTAAGTGCGGTTACATTTCCTCTCCTCGGCCCTTGGCCAGAATTAGCCCAGCCATCGAGGTCTTGCTCTGATGCAGTTGCTCTTCTGCTGCTCCTCACAGTGGACAGCATAACCGAGAGGTTGGAGGGGGATACCTTGGGGCTCTGGGTGGATAGCAAATGAAGGGTATATGTCATCCAAAGAGGCCCTGGGCATTGTGAAATAATATGTTATCAATCCACTCAATATCCTCATGGTGCTTAGAGAAATTTCATCTCTAGCACAGCAGCATGCACTGAGAACAAATGGCTCATAAACATCTTTTGGCTACTTGATAGAAGCAGAACTAAGTAGTGGTTTTCCGAAGATCTAGAGAAACAGCAGCTGGTGAAATTGAGCTCTCTTCGCATTGAAGTGGTCCTGCAGCTCCACATCTTGACTGAAGAAGACTGTGCAGTGAAGGGTGATACTCTCATTAAGTCACAAAGCTTTTATTAGGCACCTGCTGTGTTCCCAGCACCACAAAGGATGAGAAATAAATACCTGTTCCCTGCCATGGGATACATCTCGGTGATGTTGGATGTTCAGATTAAGACAGTATAGGATACCCCGCTGAGTGGTTTCGAGGAGCAGGTGACAGTTGGCAGCCCATGCCATGTACTGACCAATTTGGGAGGTCATGGTGCACCCTCAATCTTTCTCACTTCTTTGTGGGGTTTACATGAGCTGAGCTGTCTGCTCCAGATAAGCAAATGAGAAGAGATGGATTTAAAGCAGAAAGATGTGTGGTAAGCAATCATGGATTATTGCCAGAGTCCCTCAGAAATCTGCAGATGATGGTGATATCTGGTGAGGGTGGGGTGTGGAGTGCAGGTGGAGTGGGGGTTGGGGATGGGGGGAAGGGATAGCCAGAGCTGCCAGCCTTCTGTGTGCTTTTGCTGGCTGTCATGGGATAGGGTCTCAGGAGACCCATGACATTTATGTACTGAGGCACAGCTGCAGTTTAGAGAAGCTAGTAGGCCCAGACTGAATGGGGAAATCAATAGGATGCCAGGCACTTCTATACTTCTTTGACACAGCCACTCAGAAGAAGGGATTGAGGACACAGATGTCTTTCATCTCCATTTTCCTGACTCTCATTCCCAAACTCATCCCAGTTCTTCCTCCATTCCTGTTGGAGGAAGGCTGCAAAGCCTAAGGAACTAAGTACAGTGCCCCATTGGTAAGCTGTCTTAATAATTAATGATTGGCCTCAAAAAAACTAAAAATGGAACTCCCATTTGACCCAGTGATCCCATTTCTAGGAATATATCCCAAGAAACTAGAAACACCAATTAGAAAGGATATATGCACCCCTATGTTCATAGCAGCACAATTCACCATAGCTAAGATTTGGAAACAGCCTAAGTGCCCATCAGTAGATGAGTAAATTAAAAAACTGTGGTACATCTACACAATGGAATACTATGCTGTGGTAAAAAAGAAGGAGTTCTTACCATTTGCAACAGCATGGATGGAACTGGAGAGCATTATGCTAAGTGAAATAAGCCAGTCAGAGAAAGATAAATACCACATGATCTCACTCATTTGTGGAATATAATGAACAACATAAACTGATGAACAAAAACAGATCCAGACACAGAGAAGTATCGATCAGACTCTCAAACCTCAGAGGGAAGGTAGGGAGGGTGAAGGTAAGGGGGAGAGATCAACCAAAGGACTTATATGCAAGCATATAGGCCTAATCAATGGGACACAGACAACAGGGGTTGAGGGCATTAGTGGAGGGATAGGAGGTAACGTGGGGATAAGGACACATTTGTAATAACTTACTCAATAAAAAAATTAAAAACAAATAATTAATGGTTGGGCTTTACATCAGTCCTAGCAGAAATTGAAGAGAAGCAGGGGTTGGTGAAGAGAGAGGAAAGGGAACAGTATGGAGTCCCTGTGGATCAGGATGAAACAGACCCTGGGATCCAAGTTACTAAGAGGATATTTATGTCATGAGCCCTTGAAAATCCAGAGGAAATGTGACTTGATTTTGGAAAGTACAGACAGGAGCTACCTATCGCATCTCAGCATTACATAGTAACGAACCAAGGCCAGGCCACTCAGTGAAGAATTCCCTGCTTTCCTCTCCCTTACCTCCTTCCCCTCCTTTATTCTCCCTTCTTTTCTTCTCCCTTCCACTCTTCCTTTCCCATCCTCCTCTTTCTCCACCATGACTTCCCTCTCCATATGTCTCAGCTAGCTACAGACAGAATCAAGCCCCTACTCCAGACCAGTCTGAATGGGAATGTCCTAGAGCAGTGGTTCTCAACCTTCCTAATGCCGCGACCCTTTAATACAGTTCCTCATGTTGTGGTGACCCCCAACCATAAAATTACTTTCATTGCTACTTCATAACTGTAATTTTGCTATTGTATGAATCGTAATGTAAATATCTGATATGCTATGTGTTTTCCGATGGTCACGACCCACAGGTTGAGAACCGCTGCCCTAGAGTATTCGGGACCCACCCAGATTATTTCTGCTGCTTCAGGATAGGCCATTAGGTGTGGTACAAGGATAGGCCGCTAGGTGTGGTACAAGGATAAGCCACTAGGTGTGGTACAAGGCTCTTGTCTGCAAGAGAGACAGACATAAACTTTTTCACTGTAGTTGTGCTTAGGAAATTGCAACAGTATTCCACCACCACCACTAGTGTAGACCATAGCAGCTTCGCCATTGGTTGGGATCTGGGGAAGTCCATGCCCCGGTGATACCGGGCTGTCCTATCATCCCTTTCCCTTCATGTTCCAGGGCTTTATTAAGCAGCTGGAGCAAAAATAAATCCTGTGGGTGTTCCTTGCCAACTCTATTTTTAAACAAAATCAATTAAGTAATTATCTGAGTCCAACCCAGTGTGCTAAATAAAACCTGCCACTATTGAGTGTCATCAGCCTGGGGATCCAGGGCTCTGGGCTTGGCAGGAGCAAACTATCTCAGGATTAGGGAGAGGACCAGTGAGTCACACTTCTCCAGCTCTATAACCCATCACTTCCCACTATGGTTTGATTCCTGGCTCTCCACCACTGCCAACCAAACCCTGATCCAGGAAGACTTACTTGTTCATGTTTTCATACTTTGTTCATGGCAGTTCCTAGATTCGGACTGTTCTCTTATGGCCTCTCCAATAGTCCACACCCATCATCTCCTTCAAAATAAAAATCTAATTTACCTCAACTGGGAAAACTTAACACCTCTTGGTTTGTTTTGGATTTATAATTGTTATCTAATGGATGTGCGCATATGCCAAGTCACTACAACAAGAGCATAAGACTAAACCCGGGTCTTCTGTTTTTGCCATAACCCCCATGGGGCTTAGCACAGTGCAGGTAATATAGTACAAGCCCAATAAAAAACCACCAAATTAAGGAATCTGTCCATCCGTTTCTAAAATGTAATGATGTTGGCCCTGGGAAATGGTTGGATTTTCCTGATGAATCATTCAAGTAAGCACATAAAAGCACCTACTGCTCATATATTCAGCAGCAATTTATTGAGCACTAACTGTGTGCCAGGGACTCTTCTCAATGTAACTACAAAGATTGAATAGTGCATGGTTATTGTGCTCTGAGCTCAGTGTTTGATTGTGAAGGACAAACATTTTTTTTTTTTTTTAAATATGAGAAGAGCGCGGAGACAGGTGTGTATATGTTGCTTTTGGTACTCATGTGAACACCAGGTTCAAGGTCCGGGAATTACTGGACTAGGCTATCCAGAATTTGTCTTTAAGCTGAATTTTAAAGGATGAGTAGAGCCCTGGCGAGTGTGACTCAGTTGGTTGGGCATCGTCCCATGCACCAAAAAGTCGCTGGTTCTATTCCCAGTCAAGGCACATGTCTGAGTTGTAGGTTCAATCCCCCTCAGGAGGCAACCAATCGATGGATTTTCTTCCCTTCTTCCCTCTTCCCTCCTCTCTCCTTAAAATCAATAAAAATATATTTATAAAAAATAAATTTTAAAAAAGAGTGAGTAGGAGTTTGCTGAGGAAGGTAGAGGGAACAGTCTTTATTTTACAAATATTTATTGAGAATTTAAACATGCACCACTCTATAAATAAATAAATGCATAGGCCAGGACAGTTTTTGCTAAGGAATAATCAGGTGTTCAAAAATGGGCCTTGTCAGTGTTTCTCAATCACGGTCAGTAATGTCCACTTTCAGAGAAATTTTGGAAATGTTTGAGGGTTTTTTTGTGTTATCCCCATGGTTTAGCATGTTATTGTCACTAAGTTTCTCAGGTCAGAGATGCTAAGTGTCCAGTAGGGAGTAAGACAGTCCCTGAGTGATGACTTGTCAGAGGTATGAAGACATGAAAGAGCAGCGTGGGTATGACAAAACATGAGTTTGGGAAGTAGGCAAGTGCCAGTTCAGGAAGGACTTAAGATGTTACAAGGGAAGGGGAATGGTAGAGCAAACGCATGGATGTGAAAGTGAACTCGATATTTGAAGGGCCTGGTGGAAAGGGAGGTGTCAGGAGATAGGAGCTGATGAGTGATATGGGCTTCTAAAGAGGCCTCCCATCAGCCCTTCAGTGTGTGGTGATCTCTGAAGCTGTGGAGCTTTGAGCCATAGTAGAATGTAAGTGTGTTGTGACATCAAATGGTGAACTTTTGATATGGCCCAGCGTCTTAGATAATTTGGTTTTGGTGTCCATGTAACATTATTATTGATCTGCTCTTCCCTCTGTCTCTTTGTCCTTTCATACTTTTGGCTCCCTGTCTCCTTCACTCACTCCTTTCTCTTCCTTTCTCCACTCTTCTGGTTTGTTTCCTCCTAAATGAGACCCTCTTGTTGTCCTTTCCTTGCCTATTCACAGAAAATGATGAAGAAAGAAGCTCTTCTCCTCATCCCCAATGTCCTGAAGGTCTTCTTAGAAAATGGACAGATCAAGTCTTTCACATTTGATGGCCGGACCACTGTTAAGGTACATACGGAGTCTCCTCCCTTAGGTCAGCTTTGTCCTCTCTAGAGCACACACAGCTGCTGGTCCTTGGGTTCCACTGATTCTGCACAGAGCTCCTTGCTGCCAAAGCAAGGTGGCCTTTGAGCTCCTGCTGCTGTGAGCCCACCAGGATGCAAAAACACACAGTTCTCAGATGAAAGTGAGGTAGGATTTGTATGCCCAGTTCTGTGCTAATCATTGTAAATGTGTGTGTGTGCCACACATGTGTATGTGCTTGCATAAATGCATGCATGTGTGTGCACACATGTCTACACACATCTACTGGTGAACTGATTTGTGTCAGTGTTGTGCTGGGCCTTTCAAGACTCTTAGGAGCTAAGGAGTGTGAAGATCATTAAACCACTTATAAAGCAAAACGTGATTTATATTTATACAATAACACCTACTCAAGTTTACACACAGAAATCAACAAACACAATCTCTCAGGAGATTAGCTTAGACATGCTTTGCTTTTTAAATAGCAAGCAGATCTTAAGCACTGAACCAAGATTTGAAAAGTCCAGCAACAGTCTCTTTGACTATTCTTTTGACAGGAAGAACAATTACTGAGCTGTGATTCTTAATGGCTCAGCCAGCTGTCTAAAAGTTGTAGCAATTCCCTTAGTCCTGAAGAAGAGAGGTGATGATACAATGAACCCCGGGTTCGACTCTTTACTGGGACAGAAATATCTGTTCCTGCTTCTTCTGGACTCTATCCTGAAAGAGAACACCATTTTCAGAATGAATATTTCCACGTAAACAATGCTGCCAAGACTAATAGGTGGCTACAGTGCCTGCCCAGAAAACCCACCTTGGCTCAAAGATATTCTTAGGTACCCATACAGAGGTTAAGACAAACCTATAAATGAGGAAACCCCATGGGCTAGGAAACTTTCTCTAAGAGCAGTTATCAGGTGGGCATGGTTAATACTTGGATAGGAGATCACCTGGGAATACTGGGTGCTGTAGGCTCTTTTTTACTGTCAACAATAAAAAAAATATATACTTTAAAAATAAAAAGTAATTATCAGGTGTTCAGAACTGGCATTGCCAGTGGTTCACAGCCAGGGTTGGCACTGCCCCCTCCCAAACAGCTTTTGGGAATGTCTGAAGCAGTTGGGGATTATCCCCATGAATGCTACTGGTATTTAGTCTCTCAAAGTCAGAGATGCTAAGTGTCCTGTAGGGAGTGGAACAGTCCCTGAATTATACAGGATTGTCCTGCCCAAAGTGCCAGTAGCACCTGAGTTGCAAAAACACTGAGCCTACCTACTCCATGTTGATTAACCAAGAGTTTCTTCTGAAGGCTCAGGCCTAGGTGGATCCCCCATGGGTCTTAGGATCGAATCATACTCCTTAGGGTGCCCTAAGATGATCTCTTGACTATTGAATGTCTTAGTCTGTGGGAGGGGCATTGAATCAGAACTAGATCACCAGGAGTATCCAAATGCCCCACCTCCAGATGTGGATATCTCTGTGTCAGAATCCTCCTTGGTGTTGTTTCATGGGTTGGAATGTCCATTTTAGACTTTTCCCTACACTAGAGCCTTTATTCCTCTATTTCCCCTTGGAGCCTTCTCCAAGTGCACTCCCACCTTACATCACCATTCTGGCTTTCAGGTAGCCCCAGCCTTCTAGGACAACAGTGCCCGCTGGCTTGTGATCTCATCCTAACTTTAGGGAGGGTGTACTGGCTATTCACTTGTTTCAGAGAGGTACCTGAGTGTGTTGACAGCCTGGCATGGGGGCTGTTACACTTGTAACACCAGTTGGCAATCATCAAGACTTGGCTGTCCACAATCCCAAAGCAGCCGAACTGCAAAGAAAACCTCATTTGTTCCTGCCAGAGCTCCACAAACACTGGTGCATCTGTGACTACTTGGATAATACAAAAGGGTACTCTCAACTACACACCCATTTCCAGCTGAACATTTGAATGGATCAATGTCTTTTTCATGTTCACTGAGGGGTTTTTTGGAAGCCCTGGCTGTAAGGGAGTTTCCCATTCCCAAGCCTGCTTCTTTCTGTCCTTTGGGGGCTGAGTGATGCTGACTCCACGAACACACACATTGGAGCCCAGTGTAGGCAAATAGATGGCAGAAGTCTCAAACTGACATTTGGCCAGCCCCCACAGATATGTTTCCAGACACCCTAATAATAAAAGTAGGGCAGCAGAGCAGATGGAGCCCAGAAGTAGTCAGATTTATGACTGTACACAAGACATGTGACGTAGTTCCTCTGCATGAACACATTTTTCAAGTTACTAAGTTGATTGTCTCTAAAATCCAGCTATTATAAAAAATGAATATTTTGCCAGTAACTCAAGTCATTCAATTTAGATTTTAAATCCAGAAAGTTGACTTTTTAATCATAAAATTATAGGTTTTGCTTTTTTAAATTCCTAAATAAAGAGTTGAGGGACAAGCCAGAGTGAACATTCTTACATGAGAAGGTGAGGGAAGTCCTGGCTTGTGTTGCTCAGTGATTATAATGTCAGCCCATGCACTGAAGGGTTGTGGATTCAATTCCAGTCAAGGGCACGTACCTAGGTTGCAGGTTCGGTCCCCTGCCCTGTCGGGGTGCATGCAGGAGATAACCAATCAATGTCTCTCTCTCACAGCAATGTTTCTTTCTCTCCCCCCGCCTTCCACTCTCTCTAAAAATCAAAATCAATGGAAAAAATATACTCAGGTGAGGATTAACAAAAAAATAAAATAACGAAGATGAGGGAAGAACTACCAGAGTGTCTGGCACTTAGTAAGCACTCAGGAAATAATTTGTTGAAAAGAAGAAGAGAGGGAAGAAAGTATGGCCAGCCATGACCTTCTTTTGCTATATGCCTGGCCAGGCCAAATTCAGAAATACTTCTCTCCACCCCCTGCACCATTGCTGTTTCCCGGGGGCTCAAGCCTCTAAATAGCACTCATGCATCACTCTCCTCATCTGAAGCACATTGCCTACCAGTGGTTGGCAAACTGTGGCTCACGAGCCACATGCGGCTCTTTAGCTCCTTGAGTGTGGCTCTTCCACAAAATACTACATGTGGGCGCGCACATACAGTGTGATTGAAACTTCGTGGCCCATGCGCAGAAGTCGGTATTTTGTGGAAGAGCCACATTCAAGGGGCCAAAGAGCCACATGTGGCTCACGAGCTGCAGTTTGCCGACCACTGGCCTAGACCACTGTAAAGGCCGGTGTCTCTGTTTGGACCACTTTCCCAGCCTCAGCCTTCCCCCCAGGACCTACTTTCTTAGTATTCAGTCCCCCTTACACATGTTTGGTGCTTAGAGTAGATTAAAGTCGGAAAGGATCTCCTTCTTAAGGCTCTTTTCTTTTCCACAGGATGTGATGGTGACATTACAGGACCGTCTTTCGCTCAGGTACATTGAGCACTTTGCTCTTGTCCTTGAGTATGCTGGGCCAGAACAGAACCACAAGTTCCTGCTTCTCCAGGACAAGCAGCCCCTGGCTTATGTAAGTAACTCTTTTATCCTGGCTTGATAACTTTGCATGTGGCCTCTACTAGAGAAGAGGACCCCAGGTGCTCTTATTCTGGAAAATTTATAATGATATGTTCAGCTATTTCCCAGAAGTCACAGTTCTCAGTCAAATTCTATATTACCTACCTCCAGAAGGCTTTTGTCAATGTCCCTTATAACCTCTAAAGGGCATGAAGATTGTTAGTCTTGGTCTCTGTAGAAAAAGTGTGGGGTGGTAATTCGTTGCATGACTCCTGGAATGCTGCGTTAAAGAATATTGTCAACTGTCCTGTCCCCTGGAAGCAGTGCCTGCTAGACTTTTCTGCCTCCAAGAGGAAACTTGACCTTCACACGAAGACTGTAATGAAGGGATCAGCCAATGGACTCTAGTGAGGCCAGTGAGGCCAGGACAAGTGTGGGATGGGAATGGGCTGAATGGGGCCAAGAATGGGCAGTATGTCACCCACGTCAACTTCCAAAGCAGAGTAGGAGAAAGCGTCTTATCATCTTAGCCTTTGCCATATGAAAAAGGTTGCGGAAATCCAGGATGGTTGCATAGTATTTCACCAACAGTAAAGCACCAGGAAGAGCCAAAGAGGCAACCAGGGCCAATCAATATTCCCAGAGAGGGAAGGAAGGAGTTGGAGAGGAACGATTGGGAAGAAATGGAAATGAAATAAAAGCCAAAATTAGACACAAAAAATGGAAAGATTTTGGAAAGGAAAATTCTTCAAGTTTAGTTCTCAGTCAAATGCAATCCAGGGATTCACAGGTTCCCACCTATGAAGGGAAGGTTGTGAGTGTTCTGTTTGGAGATAGGCCTAAACGCCTCCCCACCCCTCCAGAGGTCTTTTGAATCCAATTGGTCTCTTGTTCCAAATGGGATTTTTAACATTTTTTATTGAAAAAACAACAACAAAAAAACACCTCTCAAATATACAAGAATAAAGGGGATTGTAGAGGGACCCCTTCATTACCCAATGCCAGTTCCAGCAATTACTGATATATATTTCCCACTTGTTTCATCTATACCTCCAAATGGGATTTTAAATCTTTGATTTAGCTTCTAATCAGCAACTTACTCTGTTTGAGGCCAGGCCCTTCTGCATTAACCCCACAGCAAGAAAAGAGAGAAATTCCCAGGAGCCCTCTCTTCCTACCCAGTATCTGGGGCCCTAGACCCAATTGTTGATAAAAGTCACGTTCTGGCTAAGTGATTCAAAAATTCTAGTCACTTGGGTCAGAAGGGCAGAAAAGACTTGGCTCCTCATCACTTTTCTCTAAGGGTAATTGGAATTGGTCAGCTGGGAGGCAGCACGCTTGCTCTGCCCCAAGCCCCCACCTTGAGGAACCACCAAGCTGGCTCCTAGCAGCATAGCTATTGATTCCCAGATCTCTTTGCCTCCCACTTCTTATCCCTTGGATGCAGGTGGTACAGCGGACACACTATCATGGAATGAAATGCCTCTTCCGAATAAGCTTCTTTCCCAAAGACCCTGTGGAGCTACTGCATCGGGATCCTGCTGCTTTTGAGTACCTGTACATCCAGGTAGAGTCTGATTGGGGACACACAGACAGACAGAACAATGGACAAAAAAGCAGGCAGGATGTTCTGCCATCACAATGAAGTCGCTATGTAAGTTTTTCCAACCTCCAGGTAGCTCTGAAGGCCCTTTCCTTTTCTGCTACCATCAGAGGCCATGGCCAAGTTGATTAGCCTGGTAACCTGAGCTGTCTGTGGTTCAAAGTCCTGTCTGTTTAGACAGGTCTCATCAATTTTCAGGAGCAAGCAATACCAATAACTCTGGCACCATAAAAGAATCCCAAGATTTAACCAGCCCATTTGGGTAACAGGAGTTCCCAACTTGTAGTACCTAGCTCCAGTAAGGAGGTAATTCCCAACCCAGTTCATCCAGAGACATTTGCTAAGCACTAGGCCAGGCCCTGTGCTCAATGTTGCTAATCCAGGTGAACAAAGAAATGTCTGACTCTCTAGACCTCATAGATACGTGCACAAATAAATATAAGACAGTGCATTGTCAGTAGCGACATCCAGGAAGCATTTTGCCAACTCTCCATGGGAAGGGGATAGTGAAGGCTTCGCAGAGGAAGTGATGCATGCATGCTCTTAGCCTTGAAGGATTAATGGATGTTTGCTGTGTGCAGAGATTGAGTGGAGGGGGCACATTCTATGCAAAGGGACTTGCATCTGCCAAGGGTTGGTGGCATAAAACAACACAGCATGATGTGAAAGCTGAGAGTAATTTATTATGGCTGGAGTACAGAATGTGAGGTAAGGAGTGATAAGAAATGAAATGGGAGAGACGGGAAGCAGATGGTGAAGGGCTTGATAGGTCATGGCAAGCACAGGCTTTAAAATTATTTAGGGCAATGGTTCTCAAAGTGTGGTCCCTGGACCAGCAACAGCAGCATTAACCAGGAACTTGTTGGAAATGCAAATTCTTGAGCCCTACCCTATTCCTAATGAATCAGAAAATCTGGTGTTTGAGCCCAGCAACCTGTGTTGTTGTTGTTTTTTAAAATATATTTTTACTAGAGGCCCAGTGCACGGATTCATGCACTGGTAGGGCCCCTCGGCCATGCCACTCCCACTCATCCCATCCCCACTGCACCTGCCACTGCCATGGTCCCAGCCCAGATGGGGGAAGGGTGTGCAGAAGGAGTGTCTGCAGGAGAGGCTCACTCTGCCGCAGTGACACTCGCCAGCCATGAGCCAGGCATCTGGAACCCATTGGTCAGCTTAGCAGCGCTCCCGCTATGGGAGCACACTGACCACTAGGGGGCAGCTCCTGTGTTGAGTGTCTGCCCCCTGGTGGTCAGTGCATGTCATAGCTACTGGTCAAGAGGTCAAGTGGTCGACCAGTTGACCGGTCGCTTAGGCTTTTATATATATAGATTGATTCAGAGAGGATATGGACTTTGTGATGATATGGACTTTGTGATGATATGGACTTCAGCTATATTTTTCCTTTTAAAAATCTTAAGATTATTTTAAAATTTTATTTTTTAGTTGTAGTTGACATACGATATATTAGTTTCAGGTGTACAACATACACCTGAATAGACCTTTCGAAGTGATCACCCTGATAAGTCTAGTACTCACCTGGCACCATACATAGTTATTACAATAGTATTATTGACTATATTAATTATTTTTATACTAGAGGTCTAGTGCACGAAATTCGTGCACTCGGGGTTCGGGGGGTCCTTCAGCCCGGCCTGTGACCTCTCACAGTCCGGGAGCCCTTGGGGAATGTCTGACTGATGGGGGAAGCGGGCCTAAGCCATCAGTCAGACATCCTTAGCACTGCCACAGAGGTGGGAGAGCCTCCTGCCACTGCCGCTGCACTTGCCAGCCATGAGCCCAGCTTCTGGCTGAGCACCAATCCCCCTGTGGGAGTGCACTGACCACCAGGGGGCAGCTCCTACATTGAGCATCTGCCCCCTGGTGGTCAGTGCGCATCATAGTGACCAGTTGTTCTGCCATTCGGTCAATTTGCATATTTGCCTCTTATTATATAAGACTAGAGGCCCGGTGCATGAAAATTCATGCACTCAGGGGGTCCCTCAGCCCAGTCTGTGCCCTCTAGCAGTCCAGGACCCCTTGGGGGTTGTCCACCTGCCAGCTTAGGCCCTCTCCCCAGGGGGATTGGGCCTAAGCTGGCAGTCAGACATCCCTCTGGCAGCCCAAGAGCCCTCAGGGAATGTTGGACTTCAGGCTAAGCTGCAGTTGGACATCCTTAGTGCTGCCAAGGAGGCAGGAAAGGCTCCTGCCACCCACTGCTGCACTCACAGCCCTCAGCCCGGCTTGTGGAAGCACACTGACCACCAGGGGTCAGCTCCTGCATTGAGCATCTGCCCCCTGGTGGTTAGTGCATGTCATAGCGACCAGTCGTTCTTCCATTAGGGTCAATTTGCATATTACCCTTTTATTATATAGGATATGGAACAGTTTTATTGAGGTCTAATTGACACATAAAAAACTGCACATATTTAAAATGTACAATTTGATAAGTTTTGACATATTTTTATACTCATGAAACCATCACCACAGTCAAGACACTGAACACATCCATCATCCCCAAATTTTTCCTCAGGCTTCCTTGTAATTCATCCCCCCCCTCCCCCATCTCTAGGCAACAGCTGAACTGCTTTCTGTCAATATAGATTAGTTTGCATTTTCTAGAGTTTTATATAAATGAAATTGTACAGTATGTACACTTATTTTGGTCTGGCTTCTTTTACTCAGCATAGTGATTTTGAGATCCACCCATGTCATTGTGTGTATAAGTACTTCATTCCTTTTTATTGTTGAGTAGAGTAGTATTCCACAATATGGATGTACCAAAATTTGAAATTGTTTTTATTTATTGATTTTTTTTTTTAGAGAGTGAGTAAAGGAGAAAAGTATCAACTTGTTTCACTTATTTATGCATTCATTGGTTGATTATTTTTTAAAAAATATTTTTATTGATTTCAGAGAGGAAGGGAGAGGGAGAGAAAGATAGAAACATCAATGATGAGAGAATCATTGATTGGCTGCCTCATGCATGCCCCACACTGGGGATCGAGCCTGCAACCTGGGCATATGCCCTGACCAGGAATCGAACCATGACCTCCTGGTTCATAGGTCAATGCTGAACCACTGAGCCATGCCGGCTGTGCCCATTGGTTGATTCTTGTATGTGCCCTGACCAGGGATTGAACCTGCAACCTTGGTGTATGGGGATGATGCTCTAACCAACTGAGCTACCTGGCCAGAGCTAGATGTACCAGAATTTATCAGTTTACCTGCTGATGGATATTTGGGTTATTTTAAGATTTTGGCTATGACTGAACAAAAGATTCTATGTATATTCATGTACAAGTCTTTATATGACATAAACTTTCTTTTCCTTTGGGATGGAATGATTTGATCATATGGTAGATCTACCTTTCTTTAACTTGTCTAAAAAATTCCAATACTGTTTTCCAAAGTACCATTTCAGATACCCATCAGCCATGTATGAGACTCCCAGTTTCTCCACATCCTCATCAGCACTTGATCTTGTCAGTATTTTTATTTTATTTTAGTCATTCTAATAGCATGCAGTGGTATTTCATTGTGGTTTTCATTTGCATTTTAACAATGACTAATGATTTTAAACATATTTTCATGTGACTGTTTGCCATCCTGCATCTTTTAGTGAAGTATCTGTTCAAATCTTTTTCCTACTTTTTTATTGGGATTGTTTGTTTTCTTGTTATCAAATTTTGAGAGTTATTTATGTATTCTGAATACAAGTCCTTTGTTGGATATGCTATTTGCAGTTATTTTCTCCCAGTCTATGGCTTGTCTTTTCAGTCTCTAAACAATGTCTTTCACAGAGCAAAAGTTTGAATTTTGATGAAGTCCAATTTATCAGTTTATTCTTTTATGAATTGTGCTTGTGGTGTCCTATGTAAAAAATCTTTGCCTAACCCAAGGTCACAAAGATTTTCTCCTATTTCTTTCTAGATGTTTTATCATTTTAGATTTTTACATTTAGGTCTGTGATTCATTTTGAGTTAACTTTTGTATGTGGTACAAGGTACTAATCAAAGTTGGGGTTTTTTGCATATGGATATTTAGTTGTTTCATCTCTATTTGTTGAAAAGACTATCCTTTCTGTAGTGCAAAAGCCTTTGTACTTTTGTCAAAAATCAGTTGTCTTTATGTGTGTGGGTCTATTTCTGAGTGAGAATTGGAGTTCCTTCAATTCTATTTCATTGATATATCTGTTTATCTTTATGCCAATATCACACTCTTTTGGTTACTGTAGCTTTATAATAAATTTTAAAATCAGGTAGTTGTCCTCCAACTTTTTTCTTTTTCAAAGTTATTTTGACCATTCTAGGCCCTTCACATTTCCATGTGAATTTTACAATTTGCTTGTCAATTTCTACCAAAAACATGCCATGATTTTGATTGTGTTGAATCTATATATAGATTTAGGGGAGAATTTACATCTTAATAATATTGAGTCTTCAAACGCATGAATACAGAATATTTTTACATTTATTTATATCTTCTTTAATTCTTAGAAATGTTTTCTAGTTTTCAATGTACAGGGGGTTTTTTTCCACATATTTTGACAGATATATCCCTAGTTTTTTCATATTTTTGGTGCTTTGATAAATGTTTTTGAATTTTAATTTGAATTCTGATTGTCACAAGCATGTAGAAATGTAATTCATTTTTGTATATTAATATTATATCCTGCAACCCTGCTAATTTATTAGTTCTAGTAGTTGTTTTTTTTTTAGATTCTATTGGATTTTCTACATAGATGATCATTGATGAAGCATTCCTTTTCCACTTTCTCCTATGCTGTACCATGGCTCCCTAGTCCCTTAGCTCATCCTGGTTCCACCTCAACACAATGGGCAACTGGTCTAACCAGGGCTGAATCATTGATAGCTGGGACTCTGACCCTCAGGGTTTGGGAACTGTCATACCTTTGGCCAGTAGCTCTAGGGTAGCCCTTTTAGGATAGCATAAGGAAGGTTGACTCATCAGTGCTTTTGACCTTCAGACCCCACAGAACAGAATATCTGCCCCAACTCTGCAATCCATCTCTCACCCTGGGCTTCTGGGCCAGAGCCCTGTAGAGAGCCTATCCCAATATCTCTCTTCCTTTGTTTCCACCTGAGCTGGGGGGTGAGTACAGGCCCCTGAGAAAAGGCAGGGAAGATTTTGTAACAGGAGGAAAGAAAGGGAGTCTCACTTTTGCAGCAACCTAGATGTTCTGCTCACTTATACCAGTGTGTACATGCATCACTGAGAATAAAATTGTTCAATATCTGCTGAATGAAGTGAATAGTGTCTATGAGAGCCAAGCTTCCTCTGTTACTGCTTCCCCAAAGGCAGAATTTTCCTCTTCTTCTTGATCTAGGAAGCCTTCCTAACACTAGGATATTTTTCTGGGATAGAAGGGTATAGATGGGTGGGTAGGGAGGAAACATCTCCTTCAACTAATAGGTTTGAATTGCCCTCTCCCGTAGAGTCGGAACGATGTTATCCGAGAACGCTTTGGAATGGACCCCAAGCCAGAGATGCTTTTGGGCCTTGCTGCCCTCCACATCTATATCACTGTCTCAGCCACTCGACCTAGTCAGAAGATTTCTCTCAAGAATGTGGAGTGAGTTGTGCTGGGGCCCTTTGGGATGGGGTCCTGCTAAAGCTACGTAGGGAAAAGGTGCAAAGTTTGAGCTGTGCTTTGATTTTCAGGAATGGAAGTCTGCGGTATGAGTGAGAATTGGAGTTACTTACACCTAGATCATGATGTCCTTGAGCTACAGCTTCTACTAGAGAACTATGGCCAATGTTTTTCTCCTGCCCTCATCATCTTTCTCTTTTTCCCAGGCTTCATTCCTTCATCTCTGCCTCTCAGATTCAGTTTGTATTACCTGCTTCCTTTCTCTGTCTCACTTTGTCTCTTTCATTAATTTCTTTTTAAAGAATAGTTTATTGATTTTTAGAAAGAGAGGAAGGGAGAGGGAGAGAGACATCAATGTCAGAGGGCAACATAAATTGGCTGCCTCCTGCACGCCCCCTACGGAGGAATCGAACTAGCAACCTCCTGGTGCATGTGACAATGCCCAACCAGCTGAGCCACACTGGCCAGGACTCTCTCATTAATTTCTTACTTTTCTTTTGCTTTTAGGAAGGAGTGGGGCCTGGAACCGTTTCTCCCCCCCTCCCTCCTGCAGGGCATCAAAGAGAAGAACTTCCGGAAATCCCTTTCTCAGCAACTGAAGGCTCACCAAACACATCCTTCCAGTGGCACCAAGGTACCCAGAGTAGGCCATTGGGCACCCTGCTCAGGCATTAGTGGCCATGTGGGCTCCTGTGTGCTTTCCCAGCAGGTCTGGTCTTCTGGGGATCCTCTCCACTGTTTTCAACTTGGGCACTATACTGTTTAGCTGGATACGGAGGACAATTGCAGAGGCGGGTTTTCCCCAAGCCTGAGCTTCCCCCAGTGACAGCTCAGTGGTCAGTCACTGAGAAAGCCCAATGTCCTCAGAGCAAAGGGACCAAGTTGCAGGAGGAGAAAATTCTCATGTCATTTCACCCATTTAGTCAGTGTTGGTTGAGCATCTGCCATGTGGACAGCACTGGACCCTGAGTAGCACATGTTTTCCATGAAAGTAACTGCTCTTTCCCTTATTCAATTTCTAACTCATGGTCCTGGGACAGGGAATTTTAAGAGATAAAAGCCTAGCCTGATGAGATAAGGCATAACCTGGAGAATAGGTCACTGTGCAGCATGTTGAGGGCTCAGGTCACTGATCAGCATTCCTGAACTTTCTTGTATGCCCTCTGAGGAACTCCTACTGCCTGCTCCTTCAGCCTTGTGAGCCCTTATCTTTTTCTTCTTCTGTAGGCCCTTCGCAAGCTTCTGAAGCTCAGTCTGCTTGTGCCTAGGAGGCAGGAGTTGTGGTGAGAGGCACAGAAATGCAGATGTAGACACAGGACATAATCACTCCCATAGATTCCATCCATTCCAGATTCCTTGCATTACCAACTAGCTTCTCTTTTAAGATGCAAATTTCCCCAGAGAGTTAAGCCATCCCTACCTTGCTGTGCATATTTAATCACACCGTTTTCTTCCCAGTGGAGAACATCAGTGCTCTCAGCTGTCTCCTCAGCAAACATTTTTGAGGCTCACCAGTGCTTGGGCTGGAGATACAAAGTTGAAAAGGGCCTGGTTTCCACCCTCAAGTCAGGCACAGGCTAGTGAAGAAACACCACAGTCAGTCACAGCAAAGTGCAACAAGCGTGGGTACTCTGGAAATATGCAGAAGAAACACCCAGCCCAACCTGAGGAAGGTAGAAAAGGCCAGGAATTTGGTGCATTTGATGCCAGAGCTGGGTCTTGATGGATAGATAACAGTTTGTCTAAATGAGCTGGGGGAGAAAGATTTTCCAAGGCAGGGAGATCTGTCTATACAAAGCCCTTGGAACATGAGAGAGTGGTACATGGAAAGAAATGCAAATGATTCAGCATAAGCTAGGACAGAATTAAGGAACATGCCTGGGGGGTGGGGAGGAAATGGGGGCAAGAGAGGAGGATAGAGAGATTGGCAGGAGCCAATTCATGGAGGGTCTTGCGTGCTGTGGAAAGGGGTTATACTTTACCCTGTAGGCAGTAGAGAGCCATTGAAAGCTTTAAGCAGGCAACTGATGTGATTAATCTTATGTTTTAGGATGATCCCTATAAGCAGTGTGGAGGGGTTAAGGGAATGGAGTGTCAATACTGAAGGTAACCTGGCTGCCACCCTGACACAGGTCGGGGACATCAAGGCAATGACCATGGGGCTACAGAAGAGGGGTGGGTAGACAGGAGGTAGAATGAAGATAATTTCGTGACTGGTAGTAAGAGGATGAGGGAGGAGTCCAGTGTGACTCCCAGGGGATGCTGCCGTCACTGTTAGAGACTTTTATATGAGGAAATGCCAGAAAAAGAGCAGGCTTGTGACTTAGGTATACTCAGGATCAAAGGTCTTAGGGGGACCCCCAGTTGGGGATGGCCAGTATCTAGTGGTTATAGGAGATCTCATGAGAGAGGTATAGATGAGGTGGGGTCTCACAGTTGGGGGAAGATATTGGAATTAACCCAAGAGCAAAATGAGTAAGCTGGATTCTTAAGGAATGAGGACCAGGAGGAAAAAGAGTGTTTAGGAAGGGAGAGGGGATGCTAGAGGTAAGACCCCATATGATCGGGAACCTTTCTGCAGTTTCTCTGGGGATCTCCTCACACTACCATAGGGTATCTTGCTGACGTTCCTGTCGTAAGATATTGACATTCTTTCCTGAGAATACAGGTTTGCTTTTGTGTGTCTCAAGTTCCTCATGTTTCTGGGTGTTTTGTTTCTACAGGGCTCCACAATTCAGGCAAAGCTCCAGTATCTTCGAATTCTGAATGAACTTCCAACCTTCACTGGTGTTTTGTTCAACACTGTGGGCCTGGTCAGTGAGGGTAGCGAGACTGGGTGGGAGGGAGCCCTCTGTGGGCACTGCCCTTGGGTGGAGGGCAGTAGAACATTAAAGCTTTAGAATGTCATTATGTCTCAGCAAATATTTCTAAATATCTTCCCTCCTCTCCCTCCTCCCTCTCCTCTTCCATGGTGCTCTGGTTCCTCCTCTGGTAAAATGGTAAAGTAAGAGGTGATTTTCATTTTCAGCATCCCTCATTGACCCTTTTGTGTCCCCTTTCCTCAATTTCAGAAGGTGGCAAACTATTTCCATAGTAAATATTTCAGGCTTTGCAGTCAGGCTATGCACATGTCACAGATACTCAGCTCTGCCATTGTAGCATGAAAGCAACCATAGGCAATGCATAAGCAAATGAGCATAGCTGTGTTCTAGTATATTTATTTATGGACACTGAAATTTGAATTTTATGTAATTTTCACATGTCACAAAATGTGGCTCTTTTGAATTTTTTCCAACCATTTAAAAATGTAAAAACCATTCTAAAAACTGGTGGTGGGCCAGATTTGCCCTGTGAGCCAGAGTTTGCTGACCCACGCTCTGTTTCATTACTCTTCCTTATATACCTGAAGCCCCCCACTCAAGGCTTCCTGAATCAGTATGCTTTCCCCTGTATACCCAAGGCCTTCACTGCAGCAACACCTGTCTCTGGAGGGGGAGGGACTGCTGGTCACCCAAGAATGTGCCCCAGGCTAGTTTACCTAGTGAGCTACAGAAAGGAAATTCAAATCATCTTGCTGTCTCCAGGTGCTTGTCCTGCTCTGGGGAACACATTGTCTTGCACATGGGGCACACCAGTGGAAAGCTGCTTATCATCAAAGTATCTACAGCAGATGGAAGAGGTTCATCGGGGTGATGCTAATACCAGGGAATGGACCCGCAAAGGGCTCAGGCTTGATGGTGCCAAGGAGCCTGTCAGGAACACTTATGTGAATTCAGCCCATCAGGCACAGAAGTAACCATTTACATACTGGGATTTGAGGATCACTGAAAGCCCACTGCCCCTTCCCTCCACCTTAACCCCCACACCCCTGCCACTGCTAAAATTCTTATAGGCCATCCCTTTGGGTTAAAACTGCTGTAGTGCCTATTAAAGGGCAAATATCTTCTTAGGGAGAGAGACCCCACCCCCACCCCAATCAACCCTTAACACCTTAGACCAGAGTTATTTCTTTGTCTTTTTAGGTTTTGGCAACTAATAAGAAGTGAGAGTTTGAGTTGCCCTTGGTTGGAGTTGTGGGGTGGGAGTGGGGTAGGGGAGGTTAAAGACCAAACAGGATGCTCTCTGTTCAGGCAGAGTGCCAGATGGATGCCTTGAGTGGCCTGCAGCGACAAATGGAAAGTCTGTGGGGCTTGATAGGAAGAGGGTGCTATGAAAGCACCAGAAAAAAAACTTCACCTACTTCATGATTTTGCTAGAGCCACCCTGCTGCTGCCCAACCTATTGCTGAGCCTAAGGTGCCCATTTGGACCGATGATCTAGGCCCTGCCCTGAAAACAGGAGCATCCCAGATCATTTTCCCCTCAAGATTGTCCTCCCACCCTGGCACTGAGCCCCAAATGCTTCCAGACTTCCCAGCAGAACCGGCCCAATGCTTGTTTTCTATTTCCTCCTCCTGTCTCCTCTTCCCACCACCTCTTCCTTTCTTTCTGTGAATGCTGCCCACGACATTTGGGCACCAGGATGAAAAGCAATCAGCCACCACTCTCCTGGTGGGACCCCGGCACGGTATCAGCCATGTTATTGACCTCAAAACCAACCTTACCACTGTGCTGTCCGAGTTCAGCAAGATCAGCAAGATCCAGCTGTTCCGGGAGAACCAAGGTGTGGCCCGAGTGGAGACCAGCATCCTGGATGCCAAGGTAAGTCTGGCTTTGGGGACGACTTCTCCCCAGGAACAGGCCTTGGGAACACAGGAAGAAGTAACCTTGAGAAAGAGAATTTAAGCCTGTCAGGTGAAGTTCAGGTATTCAGAAGTGGCTCAGAACCTGAGTCCATTTGGGCTATCTTCTTTGCCCTTCTCAACCCTGTGGGACATACTATTTTTTCTTATAAGAGGAAGTTTATTTAGAAAGTAAAAAAAAAAGTCACAGAGGTAGAAGAAGTGAGCTGTAGAAGAAATGGGCTCAGGAAACAAGTTATAGAGGAAAAAAAAAAAGGGCCCTTAGAGCTTAGGAGAAAGATAGAGACAAGGACAATGTGCCCGGGGGAAGTGGGTGGGGGGAAAGGCGCCAGTGCATTCCATAGAGAGAGCCACTGGGACATGCTATTGTGACCACATACTGTATTAAGGTTAGCCAGTGCTAGAGAAAGCTAGGGAGTGTCCAATCAACCCATAAGAGGTCTTTTGCAGAAGGCAGAGGAACTGGAGAATTTGGAGCTACCTCCAGGCCATCACTTCCCAATCTTGTGTCATAGCACCCATAGGAAACTACATTCATTTAGAATATTAGGGTAAATGGAGCCCAGAGACTCTAGCCACCCTAAGCTCTGTCTGGCTGTCCCAAAGGCTGAAAGGATATGTGTACACCAGTTGGGAAGCCCTGCTATAGGCACACACACACTTGGAATCATGGAGGAGGGGATGTCTGAGTATGTAGACAGAACTAAGGGGCCCTGGGGAGACAGCAGGTAGAGCCTGGTCCCCATTTCACCTCCCTGAGTCCACCTCTTCCAGAACTTTAGAACTTTTCCCATAGATGAGCTCATTCAGAGTACCAAGCAGCTGTTGCCTGTGCAAAGGCAGGCAGCCTTGGTCAGCCACATCTTCCATGGCGTTCCCTGCCTGCCAGCTGGTGAAAGCTATTAAGGAAGGGGCAACTTTTCTTTCTTTAAGGATTTCCCAGGAGATGCTGTTAGCAGATTAAGAGGTGAAATGTTTGCTGTTTCAAAACAGCAAATTATTTTTTTGTCTTTGTGAAACCCAGAAAGCTTTGGTATGTTAATTTTTTCACCTGTGATTCACAGGAACACCATTGAGTTAGGAACCTGCCTGGAGCTAATATTTAATTGGCTTGTGGCCACTTCCTCAAGCAATGATTGCTGTTCCCCTCAGATTATGTTAAGTAAAAAGCCAAATGAGCAGGTAGGGAAGGGGAAGGAGAGACTAGACATGCAGGGGAGATGTGACTTCCTGAGAAATAAAAATGGTTTAAAACAGAGAAACAGCTTTCCAGCAGAATCTTCTTTGTTTTACAAGTGATTCTCAATATTGGCTGCACAATGTAATTTTTTTGAGAGCTTTAAAAAATACTGATGCCTGGGTCCTACTACCAGAGATTGTGGTTTAATTGATTGGAGTGCAGCCTGGGCATCAGGATTTATTTATTTTTCAGTTCCCTGGGTGATTCTTTAGTATAGCCAGGTTTGAGAAACACTCACCTCTGGGTCCAGAGCTCTGGAGGAACCAGGCCAAGCAGGGTCGGTGGGGTATTGCCTGGGTGTAAAGCACTAGTCTCATTTATAGGAGCGATCTAGCCACAGTTGTGTGCATGAAGGCTGCCTTGGAGGGGCTACACTTTTATAGGGGAGGCCTAAACCCACAAAGACACATACCCTACTTTAATAAGGCAACAACAGAGCTTCCATAGAGCTTTGGAATCATACAGACCAGGTTCAGATCCCAGGTGCACCACTTCCTAGCTGTGTAGACTTGAAAAAGTATCTTGACCTCTCTGAGCACTGATTTCCTCAACTGCAAAATGGAGTGCCTAACTCAAAAGATTGTATTCAGGATTAAATGAGAAAATGTGTATAAAATGTCTTAGAACACTGCCTGACACATTATAAGTCCTCAACAAGTGAGACCTAGTATTTTTTTTTTAAAAGCAAAACATCACTAAATAAAAGTTAAAATCAAGTAATTTTGTAGACAAGAATAGCGTGGAACAAAAGAACAGGAAGTGGTTAACAGAACTGGCTTTTCACAAGAGAGTGTTTTAAGCTGGATCTTGAAGTGACAGGCATGGATTAGCAGAGAGAAGTGGGATGTATTCACAGGCAGAGAGCAAGCACGGAAATAAGTAAGACATATGTGCAGGTCGATAAGCATAGTTACTTGGCGGGAGAGGAGACTAAAGAGAAAAGAGATTGAAGAGATTGGGGATGGGCAGAATAAGCCGGTTATAAGCTTTGAAGGCCGGTCTGAGAAATTTAGATTCAATGTGATAGAATAATGGGAATCCACTGTAGGACCTGGAGCAGAGGAGTGATAGAATGAAAACTGATTTGGACTAGTTTGCCTAATGGATGGAAGCAAGGCTAATGTGAAACCAGGGAGGCAAGAAGGGGATTATGATGCTAGTGCAGGATTGAAGTGATAAAGGCAGGGCCTGAGCTGGAGGGACAGCAGTGGTAATGAAAAAGAAAGAGTGAGTGGGAAATGTGTAGAATCGTTAAGAGTGTGCATGCATGTCCCCACACACTTCCTGTCTTGCACACACAAAGCACACATTTTATTATACCTAACAGTTATCACCTACTTCATGTAGCCCAATTGCACTGAAGAATGGTGCTATGCGTGCACACAGAGTGTCCACATCATGGTGGGTAAAGAGGTGAAGGACTACATTAGGAGATAAATGGAAGGTCTTCTTGGTGAATTGAAGGGGCTAGGTTGCACTTTGCTGGAAACAATGAATGGTTAGGTAGATGATGAGACCATCAGGTGGCAGATAGTTCAGGTATGTCCTACTTTAAGCAACAGATCAAATGTATATGAAAAACCAGAGGAGGATTATCCACTTTACATTAAAATGTTTCTACTTTGTAAAAAGATTCATCATGTGCAGTAGGCAGAATAATGGCCATCCAAAGATGCCCATGCCCTAATCCCCAGAACCTTTGAATATGTTATGTTATATGGCAGGGAGTAATTAATATTGCTGATGGAAGTAAGATTGCTAATCAGCTGTCCTTAAAAGAGGGATATTAGCTTGAATTACCCAGATGGACCCAGTGTAATCACAAGGGTCCTTGTAAGCGAAAGAGGGAGGCAGAATAGAAAGTCCGTGATGTGATATGAGAAGGACTCAGTCCAATCTTGCTGGCCTTGAAGATGGAGGAAGGGGCCATGAGCCAAGGAGTGGGGTGGCCTCTAGAATCTAGAAAAGGAAAGAAAACCCATTCTCCCCTAGAGCCTCCAGAAGGCAGAAGTGATGCGGCCCTGCCTACCCTTTATTTTAGCCCCGTAAGACTCGATCTCCAGAACTGTATGAAAATAAATGTGTAGCTTTTAAGCCACTAAATTTGTGCTTAAAGGCTACACAGAGGCAACAGGAAATTAATATATTGTGAGATTCCTTCAAGGAAGAAGCTGTCATACACTGCACTAAAGATATGATTTGAGGCTTTGGCTGATGACACTCAGTTAGTGTCATCCCGATGAGCCAAGGTTGGGGTTCCATCCTCTGTCAGGGCACATACAAGAATCAACCAATGAATGCATAAGCAAGTGGAACAACAAATCAATGCTTCTCTCTCTAAAAAAAAGCTATAATTTTATTGATAAATGTTACGTTCACACCCAATTTTTGTTACATAAAACCAGATGCATGTAATCAGAGATGTCTGCTGTGTGCATCACTATTTTACAAGTCAGTGCCCTATGAAATAGACAGGATGGTATTTATACCTTTCACAGATAAATTGGCAGAGGTAAGATCCATGATATAGTGGAGGAAGGAAAAAGGGAAGATTGAGGGAGAGAAAAAGATTCAGATTTCCATTTGACAGTCATTTAATATGAACTTTCATCACCATTTATTTATCCCTATTTATCCTCTTCTACCTCCCCAAGGGAATATAGATTTTTAAAACTTCCCAGGTAATTCTGATATGCATCTGGCCTAAGAACCACTGCCTTAAAGTGATATTCTTACTTGTCCCCAAATTGACTGGCTATGCCCAATTCACATTTCCCAGTGTTGTGGAGGCAAGAACCCAAATATACTGGTCCCCTGGGACTCAAGGACCATCATCTTGTACCCTTGCCCCTCAAGGCCCCTGAATTCCCACCCTTTTCCTGTTTTTCAGGATGCTAGGGTGTTCTGAGGCTACCCCAGGACCAGTCCTCTCCCTAGTTGGCAATCCAAAATGCTGGGAAAGAGATAAGGCTGGAGCATGTAAAACTAATCCCCACTGTACCTTCTCTTGTTTGCCCATGCCTCCAACTCCATTCTCCCTTTCTCCTTCTCCATGTGAAGATGACCTGGGCATATTTTTAGTTACCGTTTCACTCAGCTTACTTGCTCTTAGTGAAGTATATTTGAGGTAGTATGCAAATGTCTTTCTCCAAGAGACAGCAGTCTAGAATTGAGATAGCACTGGGCCATTCCCATGCCCCATTACACAGAAACACACAAAGGGGGAAAAGAATCCATTAAAGGAATGTCCCAAGGGATCTCTTGTGACCCAATGTGTCTCCTATTCTCGTGTTGGAGCTTTATTGCTCTAGTGCTTTCTATAGGGACAAGCATTATTAAACATCATGATCATTCAAATCCTATGTTTAAAAAAAAACACACTTGTTTTTCAAGGTTTCTAAGAAAACCTATCCAACCTGTTTGTTTGCCTTTGATTTGATTTTTACCTCTGCTGGCATCTGTGTTCCTTTTACAAGCTGCATTTGGCTCATGCTGGGGTCCAGTTGCCTGTGCAAGGATGCAGAGGAGGGGTTCCTGATGTGCTGTGCTGAGCCAGCTGGGGGTGTGCTTGATTCTGTGCACAGGATTTTGCTTGTGTGCTGCTTTACTACGGACATTGGGCTACATTTGGGTCAAGAAATAAGAGGGGGAACTGAAGTCAGACAGTTAAGTCAGTCAGCCAGTTAGTCACTTAGCCTCCCATCTGTCCATTAGCTAGCTGACCAGCCACCCGGCAGTTTAACTAGCCAGGATGTCAGGATATTAGGGTTTTAGGCATTCTTCCTGTCATGCAGCCACGCTTGTCAGCCAGGGCATCAGGAGGCCAAACTGCCCTGAAGCCAGCTAGTCCATCAGTTTTTCTATCAGTCAGCCAGCCAGTCAGCCTATACTTTGGTCAAATGGTCCCTTATTCTATTTTTCAGCCAATGCCATTTCCTCAGAGAAACTCTCTCCAGCTTCTGCCACCAAATTAGTCACATGTGTGCACATTTGTACCCACACATTGATCCAGGACATTCTACGTTCTGATGGCTCTCTGTAATTTCCCTTTATAGTGCTTATCATACCTTGCAATTATATTCATTTCTGTGATTATTTCGTTTATGTCTTATTTTCTGCTAGATTATAAGTGCCACGAGGTCAGGAACTGTGTTGGCACTGTTCTGGGATGAGCGGCTGCATCTTGCAGTGGGGCCTGCTGTCTATGAGCCATTTAACCAGTGTGTAGCAGCTTGCTGTGTGGACAAAGTAGGGTACAGGAGCATCTCAGCCAGAGGGGCCAGCATAGGTTAAGTTATGAAGGGCTGCAAAAACATGGCAACTCTGGCAAATTGTAAATGATGTGTCATTGCTGGAGCATAAGACAAGGGGCTGTAATGGGAGGAGGGCACAGGCAGAGTTAGTGGGAGATACGCTTGAAGCTACAGGTTGGGTCTAGGATCCTGAAGGGCCTCATGTGACGATGGAAGGCAATGGGTTTTAGGTGATGAGCTATTTAAGATTTTAAGTGACAAGGAGAGTCATATTTTAGAACATGACTTAGGTAGCAATATGGAGGTGAAGACTGAAGGCAGGGAGTTCAATCAGAAGACTATTGGAGAACCTGAGATGTGTCCCTACCTTTTCCATATCACAAAAAGTCACTATTTGTATGGCACACTGGGATAAACAGATGAGGCAGCTTGTGGCCAGAGGCAACAGGACCCAGAGGCTGAGGGGCTCAGGATCTCAGTACACTTGTCACCCATTCACACATACCTCCAGAAGTTTTGGTCTTAGAGGAAGATGATGAAAGCCTGAATAAAGCAGTAGCAGAAGGGATGACCATGATGTCTGTGATAGCTCCTGAGGCAAACCTAGTGAATCTTGGGCCCTCATAGTAATGGTGGTAGCAGCTATTCACACCCAAACCTCTGTGTATCCTTCTGCCATTGGTGACAAGGAGTGAGACACAAAGCGATATCTCACTCCCCTCTCTGTTTTATTCCTCTTCTGTCTCTACTTTGTTATACACAAAGTTAACCATTCTGTTGTGACTATGAAACATCCATTAACTGGAGGTACAAACATCCCCTCTGCCCCTTCCTACTAACGACCCAAAGGAACCATTGTTCCCTGGGGACAGGCCATTCCTTTTCTTGCTGATGGTATTGCATAGGAACATCACCAGCTCATTGCCTAAGGGGCAGAATCCAAATGCCTTATTGTGGTTTGCATTGTAATTGCATGGATTGCGTGTGGAGGTTGTGCAAGAAGAGCTGGCCAAAGAGGGAAATGGACATGTCAGAGATTACTGAACCAGAGCACAATATCACCTCATGGAAACAGAAGCCAGGAGGAGAATTTCCAAAGGAGAAGGCGATTACTGTTGGCAAATGAAACAAGCAGAAAAAGATGTCAAAATGAGTATAAACAATTGTATTTAGCTGAAAAGAAGCTTCACCCATAGATCAGGTGGCAAACTAAGGCCCATGACCCAAACCTGACCCACTGCCTATATCTGTAAATAAAGTTTTCTTAGAACACCATCACAGCCGTTTGTATTGCTTATAGTTAACTATGGCCATTCTCACACTACAATGGCAGGGTTGTTGCAACAGAGTTTGTATGGCTAACAAGGCTTAAAATATTTACTATCTAGCCCTTATAGTAAAGGGTTGTCTATATGAACTACAAAATATTCAACTCAAGCTATGTGTTGGGATTCTGGGAGATAGAAAAGAAAGCTGGTGCAACTTTAACTTAAAAGCTGAGCTGGTCATATGTAAAACTTTAGACAATATTAAAAAAAATAAAACATTTTAGAAAAGTTGGAATACTGAAGTCCTACTCTTGAAGTTGGTACTGCACATTAATATATTAAAGGATCTGATAATTTCCATAAGTACAATTATCTATATAGTGTTATTTAACCCAGGGTTTCACTCATGTATTTGCTCAAGGAATTATTTTAAGGAGCACCAATTAACATCTTGAGAACACTTTGGGAAACCAAGGGAAAAGGGGAGAACATGAAGGTCTGAACAGGGTTGCAGACCAGAAAGACCATGACCTGGAAGGACTTGATTGCACGGAATGTCCATGTCCAGGAGCTGTTCTGGGTATTGTATGTGGTTATAGAGATGAGTTGTGCATTCAAGGAAATTCTCATAAAGGATATTCCCCTCACCTCCTAGGTTTACCCCAGCTTTCCCAGCTAGCCTGAACATCTGCTGAGCCCTGACAACCCCAATAAAAGCCACACAACAGTCACATGATGTTTAATCATTTCAGTCTTTTTCAGTAAAAGTGGTCCATTAAATGTGTAATTAAGGTTGATTTAGTTTTGATACATGGGTAAGAGTTTACTATAAATTAACTCTCAAATCAGAAGAAATCATTTGTCAGGACATATGCCTCAATTTTTGGTTCAGAAACTATGGTTCCCATAACCATGCAAATTATCTTTTCTATACGATCATTCTCCAGGAATTGAACCTGTTTTCCTCCTTCCCGTGTCCTCATGTTTCTTCCTGTCTCTCCCCCAGCCTCTGGTGCTGTTGATGGAGTGGCCCGAAGCCACCAATTTTGCCTGCCTGATTGCAGGGTACTGCCGCCTCCTGATGGATTCCAGGAAGATGGTTTTCACCAGGCCCACAAACCAGCCTCTTCCACCTCCAATGATCAAGGCAGGTAGGGCTCAGCCTCGATTTTTGGTGTAGTGGAAGTCCTTTGGACCCTGGAAACATGGGGGGAGGAGCTCCACTGCCTTAGTGCTCACCCCATTCTGCCAGGACCTGATTTACCAGGAGCTGATGCTGTACCACTGTGTCCTACTTGGCACAAGCCAGTTGAAAAGACAGCTGGCTTTCTGATGGGCTTGTCCCACAAAGGATGCCTGTAATAGCACATTGTGATTGAGTCAGTGAACGGTTGTAAGATAAAAATAGCAAATAAGCAATAAATAGAGAACCAATTAAGAAATCTCATTGAATCTAAGGCAAAACTTTAGAGGTACATTGATCTAGGAGAGATGCATGGGTGTTCTAAATTTTTAAAAGTGGAAGCTGAAAATAAAGGTAAAATTTTCTTTTGTTCATAAGGCAGATGATAGCTGCCTGAAGTAAGAGGCCACAGAAGACTGGGGTAGGAAAGACTGTGCAAGCCCAGAGTATATATAGCCAGCAGGAATATTAGAGATTAGAGGGGTTGACCACTAAGAACAAAGTCAAGTGCAGCTCTCAAACAGCAAAGTGAAGTCACTCCTCAAAGCGGTCCTCATGATGGCACAATCAGAGCCCTTGGGAAAAATTAGCCCAATCCAGATACTGCCATCCCGAACCAAAATGGGAGGAGACCAAAGAACAGTCACTCCACATATTAGACCCAAGACTCACGTACATGCAATGTGTGCTCTTCTCACCCCAGCACCCAAACATCACAAGTAGAAGCTGAGATTTACTACCCAGTAGTTGCCCTCCTCACATGCTGAAGACTCTTCACCCAACTTGTTTTGCTGCTAAACTATTTCTTTTATCTTCAAGGTTGTCTTGCCTTGCAGCATGGTCACATCTGATCTAGATTGAGGAGTTTGAGAATAGAAGCTCATACCTGATGGATGACCCAGCACCCAGTGGGCTGTGTATCCACATAAACCCTCTCACCTCATTTTCTTCAAAATGAACATCACAGCAAACACATGTTTATACCTCATAACATTGTCCACAGGAATTAGAAGGCAATTCACCAAACACAGATTTGGGGAAAGATAGGGGGCCCCAAGGCATATGATATAGGCCACATAAAGAAGCAAAAGAGAGACACAGCTGATTCTCATAGCCACTTGGCCTGGAGGTCAAACCCTCCCTGGTATTAGCTACAACAATCAAGGTTTAACTATAAGACTGCGCACAAAGACCACTAGGGGGTGCACCAAGGAAGCATAACAAAATGCGGAGACAAAGAAACAGGACAAAATTGTCAATGGAAGATATAGAGTTCAGAACCACACTTTTAAGGTCTCTCAAGAACTGTTTAGAAGCCGCCGATAAACTTAATGAGATCTACAAGAAAACTAATGAGACCCTCGATGTTATGATGGGGAACCAACTAGAAATTAAGCATACACGGACTGAAATAACGAATATTATACAGACTCCCGACAGCAGACCAGAGGAGCGCAAGAATAAAGTCAATGATTTGAAATGCGAGGAAGCAAAAAACACCCAACCGGAGGGGCGGAATGAAAAAAGAATCCAAAAATGCGAGGATAGTGTAAGGAGCCTCTGGGACAGCTTCAAGCGTACCAACATCAGAATTATAGGGGTGCCAGAAGATGAGAGAGAGCAAGATATTGAAAACCTATTTGAAGAAATAATGACAGAAAACTTCCCCCACCTGGTGAAAGAAATGGACTTACAGGTCCAGGAAGCACGGAGAACCCCAAACAAAAGGAATCCAAAGAGGACCACACCAAGACACATCATAATTAAAATGCCAAGAGCAAAAGATAAAGAGAGAATCTTAAAAACAGCAAGAGAAAGAAACTCAGTTACCTACAAGGGAATACCCATACGACTGTCAGCTGATTTCTCAACAGAAACTTTGCAGGCCAGAAGGGAGTGGCAAGAAATATTCAAAGTGATGAATACCAAGAACCTACAACCAAGATTACTTTATCCAGCCAAGCTTTCATTCAGAATTGAAGGTCAGATAAAGAGCTTCACAGATAAGGAAAAGCTAAAGGAGTTCATCACCACCAAACCAGGATTATATGAAATGCTGAAAGGTATCCTTTAAGAAGAGGAAGAGGAAGAAAAAGGTAAAGATATAAATTATGAACAACAAATATGCATCTATCGACAAGTGAATCTAAGAATCAAGTGAATAGATAATCTGATGAACAGAAAAAAAAAAAAAGAAGCAAAAGAACTGACTTGGAATATATAGCCAGCAGGAATATTAGAGATTAGAGGGGTTGACCACTAAGAACAAATGCACCTGGGGATCCAAGTTGCCACATGTCTCAAGGCGGATTGCTTCAAAGTGGGTGGCTATATGTACTATGAAACCTCTGATGGCCAAATTATGGCAAAGCCAGTATTAGCATTATTAGTGTCACCTGTGATCTTCCTCTCTATCATCACACCTAAGTAAATTATACTTCTTACTGAGCAGGATAGAGAGAGAGAAAGAGAAAAAGGCAAGACAGAAGGAAGAGCCTGGAGCTCAGCTGAGGACCAGATGTGCAAGTCAGGGTTGTTTGGGAGTTCATTTTAAGAAGGCTCCTGAGGCGGTTCTGTAGTCCCACCCTGCCTTCCAAAGGGTTTTGGTCAGCCCATTAGCACCCTAGCCAATGCCTTCATTAAGTATTCCCCATGCTGTGGAAATAGTGTCACTATGTGAGGGACCCAGGCTTCCTGTGTCCCTTAACTGAATACATTCCATGTTGCATCATGTTGCTTTTTCAAAGGCAAACAAATTTCATTGAATTCTCTTCTAGCCCAGAAGGGAGGCTTATAGCAATGCTATACATGACTTTAGAGCCCCTCCCTGATTCCTGAGAATCCTCCTCATTGGGCCTACAGAGTGAAGGGGGCTCAGGCTGCCTCTAGCACAGGGCCTCTCTGTCCATGCAGGAGCCAGATGGACCACTGTGGTGTCCCCACTGTTTGTAGCACTTGACTTCTCCAAGGGCTTGGGCCAATGCCTAGGCCCAGTACTTGGCCTTTGGACTGTTAGCTGCTGGGTTGATAGTAGCCACCCAGGGTTCAAGGCGAGTGGGACAGAATGAGTCTCATGGGTCAGCTGTCAGGGGCTGGTATGCACATCTTATCTCATTGTCCCAAGGACAGGAAAGGGCAACAGCAAGCAGCACCACTGAGGAGACCTCTACCCAGGTGACAGTGAAGAGCCATCAGTTCCTGATACAAAGTTAAGATTGGCTTCCTCCATCAGACCCACATTCAACCCAGAACAGAAGCTCCAGTGTGGTTTAGTAAAGACCTATAGGAAACAGTCATCCTGCCAACCTCAGAGAACAGAACACCAGTCTACTCAGAGCCTGGTTTCTCTAGCAGGATCTATAGTCTTGTCCCATAGTAGCTACTGGCTGCCACCTAACCCAACTCAATGCTTAGCCGACTGGACTTAAAGGATGCGGGTAAACCACCAACTGGAAAAGACAAAGCATCATCTCTTCTCTCAGACACAGAAAAAAAGGAAAATGGAAGTGGAAGGAAAGAGATTACCTGTTGGGCTTTATTAGTAGTTTTCCTGAATTAAGCATTTCACTTATTTCAGCTATAAGTAACAGACATGGTCCTTGCCCTCACAGAGCTTACAACCTGGTGGGAGAATACAGAAATATGATTAAACGAATAATGCCAATACAGTAAGTGCCTTTGCATTTATATAGAGGAAATTTCAAGTGACATAACATAACAGCACCTGGACTTGAAGACACAACTTCGAGAAAATCTCAGACAAATGCCAACTCTCCACCTATATGGGGATGGTTGGAAATCCAGAGGCAGCTGCCATCTCTCTCCTGCCTTCAGCTCCCTGTATCCCGGGGGGACCCAGGAAATTAAGGCTTTCAGGGCCCTAACTGGGGTCACAGTTGGAGGAGGATTCCACTCTAAATTTTCTCCCATGTTTAGAAAACAGTTTGATCTGGCAAATAAAATATTCTGGTTAATGGCTACTATATATACCATGCATAGCTTACAGATTTTCATGTAGTTAAAACTCAGCAACATGCATAGAGTACTAAAGCTAGAGTGAGCATAGCAGACTTTTTTTTTTTTTTTTTTTGATGATTCAGAATGGACATGAGGTTCTTGCAAGGCCTTTTGGTCATTTGTCCTTATGATCAATGATCATCAGAATGTAGAACATACCAAGACCAAGTAAAAGAAAGTCGGCTTTATCAATGTTGTGTTGATTGTGTATGTGTGTGTGTGCGTGTGTATAATATAGTTTTTAAATATAGCTCCAATTGAATCACCATCCTGTTCTTTGAAAGTATTTTTTTAAGTCAGTCTTCTGAGTGGGTGAGTACAGAGGAATAGACTAGGAGATTCCTGTGGGGAAAACTGATGAGCAGTTTACAGCAGATTTGCAATCTGGGAGGCATGCTTTCTCAGATATCAGCAACCGCACCTGGTTTTACTGGCATTTTAACCTGTCTAGAGGAGATTTAGGCTTCTCCAGGGACATTTTCTTCTCTGCACAGCCCCCCGTGCTGCTGCTCAGATCTGGAAATCACAGTACCAAGTGGTGAGCTATACATCACCTGGCCTTGACAGCCTGGTATTGAGAGATGTTTCCATTTTGCAGGGAGGGAAGCCACTCGTAGACCTCTAGCCCTTGTCTGAGAGGAGTCACAACTTCCTTATTGGACATGCTCCTGGGAGCCACCTCTAATAGCAGCAGACTGAGATTGTTTAGTTATCTCATAGGTAATTAGCACTAGGTGCATTGCCAGGACCTATGAACAATGCCTGAGGGTAGAGACTTCCTGAACTGATAGTTCGAGCTCCTGGCTCAGTGTTCCTCTAGAACACTTTTCTAAGTCTCAGAGAGTCATTACATACCATTCCCGCAGCTCATCCACACTTGGTCTTAGCCAAAGGCCAAGAAGAGATCCTCCGGCTGATCCTGAGTTCCTTAGATACAACCACTAAGGCCTA